CGCCGCCACCTTCCCTCGGGGGCACGGATCGGGGAATCTCTTCTGGTGCCCCCAAAGTCGGTGTGTCCCGTGGGTTCCGGCTCCTCGCTCCGGGAGAAGGGACACGGAGGAGCAGGGACGTTAAGGGGAACGGAGAAGGAGAGAGATGGAGCAGGGAGATCATGAGGGAGATGGCGTCCGCTGCCATCAGCCCCAGGCGTTCCCGCTCTCCCGCTTCTGAGGCTGCGCTTCGCGAGGGAGGAACTTTTAAAAAATTATTTCGTGCACTGAGAAGTAGGAGATCAGACGGTCTCCTGCCTGAGGTAAAAAAAGAAAATCTCAGCTGCCAGGATTTGGAGTAAAAAAACCGCCGAACTGTTCTCCAGGCGCGTTTGGGAGGTGCAGTGAAGTCACAGAAATGTCGCGGTCCCACGCTTCCCTCAGGCCACGTCGGTTTTCCCTCAGGACCCTCCTGGCAGCGGTCAGGGGTCACCATTCCCACCCAGAACACTGGTACTCCCCCAGAACTGCTCAGTGGAAGAGGTAATGGCCACCTCAGGCTGGTTCCAGGCAGGGACAGACGAGAGATGCTGCTGACCCAGGAGTCCATCAGGCCCAGCCCCTTGTAAATTGCAGTAAAGGACACTGTGAGTGAGGTGAGTTTTAAATCCCCAAGATCCCAGGGCATAGCTTTGATCATGAGCCACCATTTTGTGCAAGTTTTGCTTTATTGATAGGGTCCCTTCACCCAGGTACGCACCACCTAGACAGACCTGAGGGGGAAACACCACACCACGACTACTAGTCCTTTTCCAGAAAAAAAACCGGTACAAAGCTTAAAAGTTTAAGCTTTAAAAGTTTTTTTTTTGAAGACCCGTGTCTTCTTAAAAAGAACAATCAAAATCCAAAACTTCAGCAACCACATAATTTGCAAGTAAACTTAAAAGTAGTAAGACGCGTTACAACTGCAAAGCCTGCATTGCCATCAGTAAATTAAGCCTTTATGTAACAACCCTTTTGGCTTCATCAGTCTTGCAGGCTCTGTGGTTTTATCATTATTGAAAAGACAGCTGAAAAATCACCAGCAGAAAGCTCCACCATAAAGGGAACAAATTAAAAATTTTCATTAAGCATTTTGTGGAGTTTTTCCCCTTTGCAACAATTGCCAAAACAGACTGTGGGAGGGTGGTGTTGGGGTTGTTTGGCTCATTTAGAAAAGCAACCACAGATGCCCAGTTCAGCATCAAAGAAACCATCACCATTATCAGAGTTATGTGTTACCTGGGTAAAGGATCTTCCAGAAGAAAATTACCTCAAAATAGTTGCCTGGGAATCGGAGGACAAACCTCTGTTTAAGGAGAAAACTTCTTTGCTCAGCTGTTGTGAAGAGGTATCCACATGATTAAACTGAAATGAAAGCATTATCAAAGGGCTTCCTACTTCCAGGCTCTCCCAGCCCACAAAGTTTCCCTAGAAAGTGACAAAGTTTCATAAGAAAGTGAAACAAGTCAGATGAGGTAGAGGAAAAAAACAAAACCAAACAAGTTAAGTATGAATAATTCATGCAGTTCTGAGGAATAGTGAACCATCTTTAATAACTTAGAGCTCTATCACAACTTGTGCAATTTAATGTTAACGTGTGGTATAAGAGGGTTTAAGGTATTTATTCTACAAGTTGTGAGAAATACCTCAGGGTTTGTGTGGTTGTTTTGTTTGCTGGGCTTTTTTTGGTGTGGGTTTTTCTTATTTTTTAATGAGAGAATAGATGCAAAGTTAAAGATTTTCAAGCTTTTATCGGTCACGAAAAGTTAAAATCATTCAAAGACAACCACACAGGAATGTAACAGAAACTAGTCTTTTGACTCATATTTAAAAAGAAAATATTAAAAGAAAAGTTCCTGCACATACCAGGCTGTTCCTGAAGAATGAGCTTCTATTTTAAATCCAGATCTATGTTAATAAACAGCCATAACCAGCAGGCCTACAAAAAGGTGTGTGTTACCAGCAAAGCTTTGATGGTTTGCTTTCAGACACTTCAAAATTAAATTGATACATACATAGTTTTAAAAATTAATAAAGACCAAAGGCTTTACTGAGAAAAGCTCAAAGCAGATTAGAGCCTGATTCTAGAGCCTTTGGCCCTGTTAAATAGCACATGCACGTGTTTTGTGGGTGGGCCTAAGAAATCCTCTTTTCCCGTTGGACTGAACTGGAGGTGGGGCTTTTTTTCTTTCCACCTGCTTGTAATCAACCAATTAGAAACCTTCCCAAAAAACTGTTCTTCCTTTAGGCATGTTAAATAAAGCCGAGTGCCCTCTTCACAGTTGCTACAAATTAACAGTTTGGGGAGGTGATAAAGGGGATGAATGACCATAACAACTACAGATATGGGGGTTTGGATTTTTCAGGAAAACCTAATTATGATGGAAGCAATTTCCCTTCAAGGTGATACAGCTGCCACTACTGCCAAATTCAAAAGTCCTGGTAGGAGAAATGTGAATGAATAATAAAAGTAAAAATGCACAAATCCTACCAGTATCAAAGTCTTTCAAGCACATGTTCTGGAGAGTAACAATCAGCTGTGCTGGCTTATCATGGGCTTCATTTAAAGACTCTCAGGGAAGCAGTGCTTTAAGTGTTTAATAAGACAGCAAACCTGTCCTGAAGCTGTATTTGTTTCTGTCTTTGTCTTAAAGCACTGTACATGAAACGTCTGGTCCATCTTCCATTTATTTTAATTTTTTATACTCCTTGCTCAAACCTAAGCTTGAATATGAAAGATTGCAGTCAATTATATGAAATGTTGCAGTGTCACATGCACAAAGCCCCTTAAATTTCCTACACTAGGTGAGCACTTGTAGCTTCTCTCACCACTGCATTGTGATGCTTTTGTGGTATTTAACACTGACATTTTAGCACTCCCACATTCAATTCCCCTGCTTTGCTCCAGATCTCACTGATGCTTAAAATATCATGGCTAAATTTACTCCAGAGATGTAACATCTCGGTATTAAGAGCATTGACAAGAAGGCATCAAGTTTCAGAAGTGCTTCCCAGTTTGTGCTGGGAGATCTGTTTGTGTCCCTGTGCAAATCCCGGGCTCCTGCCGGGCTCGCTGCATTGCTGCTGCTCCCTGCCAGCTCCTCACAACTTTGGGAGTAATTCCTTCTTGCAGTATCCAGGCAGCTCCAGCCCCCAGGGGCCGTGTTGCTCAGCTCAGTCACTGCCTGGGTGCACTGACACCCATTTCAGAGCCTCCTGACTCTATTTTGTGTGGCTGGCCCCGTGATTGAGATCACCTAATTACAATAATTAGCAAGCTCACCTCACAGCAACCCACCCAAACCTGTGTCCATATGGTTTGCAGTAGCTAATGAGTCAGTTAATGTGCTATGTCCAGCAGTAATGGATGCTCAATATGGATGGTATGGAGACATCATTTACCAAACCCATGACTGATTAAGGCTTTTCATTCAGACAGTTCTTGTACTTTGCATCTCACGGTAAGTTCAACCTATTAAAGGTGTTTATGTGTTCAGAAGATCAGAAGAAAGAAGTAGAGACTTGGAAAAGGCAGGTAAGAAATTAGTTCTCTCTTTAAAGAAAATACAAAAGATTGGAGATCTGGAAGCTTTCATTTGAAATAAACAAAGATTATTTGAGAAGTGCTGTTAAAGTACAGTGACAGTGGCAATAAGTGACATTTGGTTTAATGTAAAGTAGCCTGAATGAATGACTCCCACACTTCCAGAGGGTCCACTTCAGCCTCTGGAACTCACCTTCCTTTAACACTCCCCTTGCTACCCATCCCATGGAGTTGTGAGCCAGTTCTACACCCTGAACTCAGTTCTACACCCTGAACACACCAGAACAGGAAAGCATTACAAGGAAGGCAAACTTCCTGGCAACAAAAGCACCCAAAAGCCCTGAAAAAAGTAAGAAGGAATGCCTGGCTCTTGAATGAGCCACAGAATGTGCCCAGTCAGGGTCAGGATTCTTCTCACTGAGGAATTATTTTAATTTTAAAATGCTGCTCTCTCATAGTTTTCATGGCTGTTGGGATGAGCTGCTACTCCCTGTTCCTGTCACTGGAACTGCAAAGGTGGTCAGAGCCTGGCCATGTTCTCATCTCTTGGATGTCAGAGGTTTTATTGCTCGTGCCTTTAGAAAGCAATTATTGCTGAGCACTGAAGAAAAAGTGTTTTCTTACCCATTTTTATTTTCCTTCAGAAATGTGTGAAGAGGTAATGTAAGTTTATTGGTGTTGTGGGAATGGGTTGTGTGTGCAGGGAGAGCAGACTGTCTAGTGCTCAGAGCAGAGAAGGGGATCAGGAAGATTCCCCTCCTGGGAGTAATTCCTGGGATCCTAATCCTGGTTTGGCCACTGCCTAACCTTATAGGAATAATTTCATATTTCTTTCATTTTATCCATGGAAATCTTTCCATTTCTGAGATTATCCACATGAAGTTGTTCAAGAAGGGAAACTCATCTGTCATGGCTTTCTTTATTCACATATCAATGCTACTTTTTATATATAAACTTAATTATGCTGATAGGATATATTAAATATGACTCATTTTACTGCAAGATTGATTTTTTTTCCCTGACCTCAGTATAAATATTGATCTTCATGATCTTTAAATGTAGTGCAAAGGTGGTTATATTAATGGCATATTAATAGAAAGTAGCCCTGACCATGCAATATGAATATATTTGCATTGTTATTTCTCAAATCCCAACCAGAAAAAAAGAGGCAAGGTGCCAATGCCTTCTTTCCCAGGAGAAATCAGGGAGCCATTGGCTTTCCTGATTGTTGAGACTCC